GGCAGTGCTGTTATATACAGATGGAAATGAGTTCTCTTGGGTGTATATGGACTTATGCTTTTTCCTACATTTCAGTTTCAGCAGGCTGTTCAGTTCTTCAAGCAATACAGCAAAGAAACCAGAGCCACCTGTTAATCTTAAGTATAATGCCCCAACCTCACATGTTACCCCATCAGTCAAGAAAAGAAGCAGCACCTTATCTCAGCTACCTAGTGACAAATCGAAAGCCTTTGACTTCCTCAGTGAAGAGTAAGATGCAATTTTAATTTCTCATGGTAATGGTTCTTTAGTTAATTGATGACATGAATAGTAATGTGTATTAAGACAGGCACAGATAAGAGGCTATTAAATAGCCACAGACATGATTAAGAAGTCAATAGTTTTGTTCCTGGAGTGAAATGTCAAAGGTGAGTATACTCATGACATCCAGAATTATGAAACCTATAACTTGTAAAGTGATAATGGCACATTGAGGGTCACCTATGGGTGAAACTTTATATCTTTCCTTTCCAAAAATATCTTGAGGCCCAGCCCCTGTTCAGAAAAAATGATTAAAGTTTGACTTCAACAAAATGTGATGCTGTGTAAACAGTATCTGTGTATTTTATCTCATCACAGGAAGTATTTTAAAGTACTTCATCTAAATAAACATACATGTTCATTAGCACTAAGATGCAGATGAATCTCTCTAAAAGTTGTACAGTTATGATAGAAAAAAGTTGGATAATTGGGAATATAAATGAAGCAGCTAAATACAGCAGTTTCAGGAACTTCTGTAGTGATGGTCTTGTAGTGGGACCAAGCAAAACAGTGCTTATACAGGAGTATTAAAGTTGCAAAGAGTTTTTTTGGGGAAGTATCTCTTATTGGATCAACTGCATGGGTAGAGAGAGACTTAAATAAGCTTTTGAATTCAGTGCATTCTTCAGGTCCAAGGGGGAAAAAATGAGTATATCGTCTTTAGCTGAATTCCTTCAGAATTCCTTCAGACAACTGAATTCCTGCCCCCTGTCCTTCAAACCCTACAAATTTAAAAAGGAAAAAAAAGAAAAAAAGTTGATAATACTCTTTGAATATGTTTGAATGAGACGACTGACAGAGCACAAAACCAAACTCATTTGGTATTTTGAGCCACGACGTTTAGTGTGTTTCTGTTGAGTATCTCTGAAAATAATTTGGCTTATGTTTATTGTAGTCTGACCAGTATGGAACGTGTACACATGGGGTGAAGAGACAGGCAAGTAATTTAGTACTTAAAAAAAAAAAATCATTTTACCACTAGGACAGAAGCCAGCTTAGCCTCCCGCAGAGAACAGAAGAGAGAACAGTACCGTCAAGTGAAAGCACACGTTCAGAAGGAAGATGGCAGAGTGCAAGCGTTTGGCTGGAGTTTGCCTCAGAAGTACAAACAGGTATTATGCCTGGGACTTGCTCTAGTGTATATCATAGTATCCACTCTATTAAATAATATTAAATAAATATATGTATAATATAGATGGGCAGTGAAATCTCAAAGATGAGTATACTCATGACATCCAGAATTATGAAACCTATAACATGTAAAGTGATGATAGCACATTCAGGGTCACTATGGGTGAAGCTTCATATCTTTCCTTTCCACAAACATCTTGAGGCCCAGCCTCTGTTCAGAATATATAGATATCAGTAGTTGAGAGAACTATGGGGCTTCAGTATTATTGGTGGAGGCATAAAAAGCCTTTGGGGGGTAGGGGCTATGCCATCGGTATTCCTTCCAAACCTTGCACTGTCATTTTGATGATAATTTGGCCTGAAGCGTATAATACAGGTGATTCCTAAAGCAGCTGCATGATCCCATGGAGTTCTTGATCACTGGATAGCCTGATTACTTTGGAGCTGTCTCTTTATCATATTCCTTTTATTAATTGTTTTTTAAAGTGAAACCATAAAACAAAGACAAGTATTGAGAATGAAAGTGACTGACTTCTTATCGTGACCCAATGGACTTTTGGTTTCAAAAACATTTTTCAAGAAATGGAAAGTCTCTCTTTTTGCCCCTCCTAGGTAGCAAATGGTAGTCAAGGAGATAACAAGATGAAGAATTTGCCTGTGCCTGTTTATCTGAGACCCTTAGATGAAAAGGATACTTCTATGAAGGTAGGATTTAAAATTACATAAATGAGAGACAATGCCCTTGATAAGGACACAAGACACACTAAACTGATCACTTGCTTGGTCTAAAATAAACCCTAATGTCTGGGTTACTCTTTTTTTAATTCTTCTTTGTAATAAAGTTAAATCTGTAATGCATAGGTGGTGCAGAGCACAAGCAGTAGCAGAAAAATTACTGGTTTTAGTTAATGCTCCCTATATATAATATCTCAGCTGCAGCCTTACGAACAAACACAATTTACTATTAATCTTGCATAGAAGGTTAGGTTAGGGTTCAGTGTCTTGAACCCTAACACGAATTGGAATGCTCTAGCAATGTGCTGGCGTGTTCTTGTTGTTTTACCATGTACTTAGGCCTTCCTTTTATAAGCCAGAAAGCCAAGTATTCTGCAAGTGAAATGTTCCTGAATTCTTCTTTTTCAAGCTGTGGTGTGCCGTAGGGGTGAACTTATCAGGAGGGAAGACAAGAGATGGAGGCTCTGTGGTTGGTGCTAGTGTATTCTACAATGATGTGGCAGGTTTGGAAGCAGATGGCCACAAGCAGCGAACAGGCTCGCAAAGTAGCTTAGACAGACTAGACCAAGAACTCAAGGTAAGATCTGCTATTATAGAATGTTTAGAAAAGGTCTTTTCTTCTTTAAATATCATCATTCCAGTCTGTCTTAGAACAGTAGCTTATTTGGTAATCTGTTTTACTATTTAACAATAGACCACTTGAGTTTTGTCAGGTAGCACTGAACTATTCATGATGCATTGAAATGATTGAATCCACCTACTGAAATGTTCACGTTTTGTCTGTTTGCGAGCTTGGTGGTAAATCTAAACAGCTACATTTTTTTTAAACAGAGTCTGTCTTGTTTGACACAAGCCAGTATTGCCAGTTTTCAGAATTTTATCGTGAGTCTTGCAAGTTTTTGATGTGAAATTATAAAGTTGTAGCTGCTGGCATCAAGAAATTGCATGTGCATCTCGCCTTCCATTTTAAAAAGATAATTTTTTTGCCTTCTTGGCTGATGGGGCTCAAAGCTTGAACAGCTGGAGTGACCCCCCCACAGGCTCAGAAAACCAGAAGGCAAAGAAAAGGAACCCAACTCATTTTTAAAAAGCATTTTTTTCTTGTGTTTTCTTTTTTTAAGCTAGCCTCATGATTTCGGGCATGAGTTTTAAGTGCTTGGGGATGGTGATACTGAGCTTGCAGGCATGTAAATGTCATTGTCATTCTAACATCACCAGTTTGATATAGTTGCTGGTAATTGTCTGCATAGCTTCGTTACTTTTTGTATTTTGTTTTCTACCTATGTTAAAAAAAACCATGAACTTTATAGCTTCCCTTTCCATGCAGAAAAACAGATTGTTTTTCGTGGCATTAAACCTATGCCTAGCTGTCCTAAACTTGCAACCCAAATGATGCGATAGGACTACTGGCATTTTCATTTGCTCTCTTTCTTTCCCCTTTTGTCACTCTTTTGATCTTCTCTTTCAGGACCAACAGAAGGAATTGAAACATCAGGAGGAACTGTCGAGTCTAGTCTGGATCTGTACTAGCACCCATTCTGCTACAAAAGTTATCATTATTGATGCTAACCAGCCAGGAAACATTCTAGATAGCTTCATTGTTTGCAATTCCCATGTCCTCTGTATTGCTAGTGTACCAGGTAAGAGAATCAGACTCTTGTTAGTTCCCATTAATTTTAATACGAGTGGT